GCTTGGTTGTTTTCTTGAGGACGTTTCATGACCCAGCTAGGGAACATTATCAGTGCTAGAAGGGAGAGTGGTGGAGGAAGAGGACAAGAGTAGGGTCCTTGATGCTTTTTGAGCCTGGTCATTTCCTTGCAGACGTTTCATGACCAAACTAGGGAACATCATCAGTGCTAGGAGGAGTGAGGCTTGCTCTCTGTTTGTATGCAGTTGCAGGATATAAATAAATAAACATACAGTTGCAGGATATAAATAAATAAACAAAAATCTGGTTGTGGATTGCTGGCGAGTGGGTGTTTTGGTCTTTTGGTTTACCTTGTTAGCTTTCTGGTGGTCTCTTTCAAATGGTATCCACCCCCCCCCCCCCCCGGTGGCCTTACGCTGTGGGGTGAGATTTACCAGTGGGGAAAAGCCAGTGGGAATGCGTTCTTCCCAATCTCAGGTTCCTCTCCTCCTGGAGTTCTACGGCTTGAAAGGGAACATGACCCGCCTCCGGATCAACGAGCTGACGCCCCTCAAACCCCGCTATGAGGTACACGACGTCTTAATCCAGGACCCTCCCACCTCCAGGTACGGGGATGGGCCGCTGCGTTGGGCAGGGGTCTTTGGGGAGGGGGTTCTGCGGGAGGGGATGGAGTGATGGACGTTAGGAGACTGGCGGTCTTTAGAGCTTCCACAGAGGCGGGACGTTTAAGCGATAGAAGGCTTAAAAGAGTTGGCATCACATCACACACTGGACTAGGAGCTTGGCTTCTGGGTTTCACAGGGAGCCAGTTTGGCTGAGAAGCTAAGGTTGGAAATTAATCAGAAAGGCCGGCGGTTCAGCGGTTCGAATCCCTAGCATTGCCGCGTCACGGAGCGAGCTCCCGTTCCTTGTCCCAGCAGCTTCTGCCAACCTAGCAGTTTGAAAGCATGTAAAAAAATACAAGTAGAAAAATTGGTGGGAAGGGAACAGCGCTTCGTGCGCCTTCGGTGTTTAGTCCTGCCGGCCACATGACCACGGAGACGTCTTCGGACAGCGCCGGCTCTTCTTCGGCTTCGTCACTGAGATGAGCACCGCCCCCTAGAGCCGGAAAGGGCTAGCACATATGTGCAAGGGGAGCCTTCACCTTTAAGGCACCCAAGCTGAAAAGTGGGAGATGGTGAGAAGGAAGGCGCTGACCTAGAAACCAGGAGATGCTGAGTTCTAATCTGATCATAGGCCTGAAAGCCAACTGGGTGACTTTAGGCCAATCACTAGGAGTCAGTGAGTTCAAGTCCTGCCTTAAGCATGAAAGCCAGCTGGGTGACTTTGGGCCAATCACTAGGAGACGGTGAGTTCTAGTCCTGCCTTAAGCATGAAAGCCAGCTGGGTGACTTTGGGCCAATCACTAGGAGATGGTGAGTTCTAGTTCTGCCTTAGGCATGAAAGCCAGCTGGGTGACTCTGGGCCAGTCCCTCCCTCTCAGCCCAGCCCAACTCACAGGGTGGTGGTTGTGGGGAAAATAGGGGTATGTTCACAGTCTCGATTTATTTGTGAAAATAATAAAGGGATACAAAAAATATATATCCGACAAATTAAAAAACAAATTCTGGGAGTGGAAGTCCACCCTTCCTAAAGAAAACCCTGAACTCCTTTAAAACCAAGGTTGGAGACCCCTGGTTTAAACATCCTTCGGTGAACAAGTGAGGTTATCAGGTGAGATAACATCGTTTTCCCCTTTCTCATTTCTGCTCTGCCCTCATCCCACCCTTGTGTGCGTCCCCCCCCCCCCCCCCCCAAGATTGTCTGTCACAGGCCGCGACGAGAACAGCGTGGAGCTGTCGCTGGAGGACGGGAGCCACAAGGTGATCCTGACAGCGAAGCCCTTTCGCATGGACCTGCTGGCCGGGCGGGACCTGGTGCTGAGCGTCAATTCCCGGGGCCTGCTGGTATTCGAGCACCTGCGACAGAGGAAGGACTCGTGAGTACCTGGGGTCTTCCACGTCAGGAGTTTGGAGAAAGGGGTTTTTTGGTTCCTTGGGAGCGGAGGAGAGCCTGCTGCCTGGGGGGGTGGAAAAAAGATGGTTTATTTAGGCTAGCATTCCTGGCTTCAGCCCAAGAACTGGAGATGGAAGCATAATGGTACTCAACTATCCATCACCTGCGGGGTCCTTGGTGCTTTCCGAGCTCGGTTATATTTTCCCGCAGACGTTTCACGACCCAACTAGGTAACATCAGCAGTGTTTGAAGGCAGCGGGGGTCTGCTCTCTATTTATATACAAGTAGCTTGCCCTGCCAGTGTTGTTGGTTTACAACTCGGTAAACCACAACCTAACCCAGGAACCACCAAGAAAGAGCACACCCAGCAATGCCCGCAGGGCAAACCGCTGTGTAGAATTAGATCACACATAAGGACCCTCCCACCTCTTATTTTCCCAAATAATGACAACCCTATGAGGGTTGAGAGAGAGAGAGAGGGACTGGTCCTAAACCACCAGCTAGCTTTCATGCCTATGGTGAGACTAGAACTCACAGCCTCCTGGTGAGCCTGGCCCCGAGTGATGCAGCTAGCTTTCATGTCTAAGGCAGGACTAGAACTCACCATCTCCTGTTCTCTAGGTCAGCTCCTTTACCACTATACCAAACTTGACTCTGATGTTCAGAGATTTATGGGCATTTCAATTCTCCAAAAATCAAAAGATTTAGAAGTCTCCTATATGTTACGTAAGGAAAGCACTGAGCTTTATATCTAGGTACCTATTTTCCTGTCTGTCTAACTCTCTGGCGGGTTGTAGAAGGATAGACAGAGCCTTCCGTCCTTCTACAAGGAAGGTATTGGATTTGCAAATCCTTTTCTTTTCTAATCCACAAAACACACCCTCCTAGTCATCCTTGTTTATCCCCAGGCAGAATCCAGGCCTAAGATGACATGGATAAAAGGCTGGATTGCCAGTGTTGGTTTTTAAATAGTGGGTGGTTGTTGTTGTTTTTTACCCTATCTGGATTTCTTGTTTTGTTTTTGACTTTCAAATGTCATAAAATCTCAAGCTTGTGTCTATGTTAACGTTGTATTGCACCCATTAAAACAACGAAAAATAATTTAAAATCGATTTGTTGGGTTTGGGGGGAATTATTTGGGTTATTTTGTATAGCATCTGGGTTGATCTGAGCACAAAATCTTGGTGTTTTTTTTTTCCTCCAGTAAAACCCACTGGCAATCCTGCTAAATAGATAAAAATAAATAATAATAATAAGGATGCATTGTGGTTTTTGTTAACTGGGGTTTATTTGAGTGCAAAACCTTGGTTTTTTTTTGTTTTTGTTTTGTTTAAAAGAAATTAACTAGGCAGGGGTGGTTGGGGGCATCTTTTGAGATTCCTTGCACTGACTCTCCGTTGTGTTTTCTGTTTTTGTTGGTCTGTGGCCCCCCCCACTCTCGCTTGGCCCCCTCCCAGTTTCTCGGATAAAGTTAGTGACACGGTCGTTAGCATTTGGGATAGGATCACGAACATTTTCGCTAGGTAATTCCGCAGCTTCTGCTTCTGTTTCTCAACTCCCTTTCCCTCCGTACAGAAAACGGGGCGCTGCCCGGCCTTGTGACATAAGCAATGGGAGGAGCCCACCACCCTCTGCCCCCCCTCCCTCCTTCCTTTTTCTCCGACCCTCAAGTTTTAAGAATGGAGAATGACATATGGTGGGGTGCGGAGGAGATTCTCACATCAGCCGCAGTTCTGCCCAGCAAGAATCAAGTGCTGGGAAAAAGGACTTAGATCCAGAGCTGGAACAGAAAGAGGTTTTTTTGGGGTGGTGGTGGAGGGCATAGGATATCCACAAATATTTTTTAAATTGATTTTTTTAAAAAAAAAATTAAACATTGCTTCACTGTTCTTGAGGACTAGAGCCTTAGCAGCTAAAAAGCTATTCATTTACCAGCTTGGAGGAGGGGAGGGAATATATATATATATATATATATATATATATCCCCAAACCAGGATATTTCTGGGTTCTAACTTGTTTGTGACTCATCTGGATATTCCTTCCCTCTTTTCGGAAAACTCACCAGCCATTTTTCCTTGATTTCCTGTGTGCAGAATCGGATCTCTTGGTAGGAAAGTGGATTCTTTCCATGTCCGATTCTGTTTTGTTTTTTCCCCCCCCTCTCTTTTTTCTGGACCCTGGAATGCCTTCCCTCCTGAGGGCTGGGTGAAATCTTGAAATATTAAACTGCCTTGCCCTGTTTAGGAGACATGGGGGAGCCTTAGGTTAGCTAAATATCAATGTTTAGGACATGGGGAAGCCTTAGGTTAGCTAAATAAAGTGGTATATAAGTCTAAGTGCTATTGCTATTGCTAAATGTCACTGCTTAGGACATGGGGAAGCCTTAGGTTAGCTAAATGTCATTGGAGATTCTCGGTCATCCAGTAAATGGTTGTCCCAAAGGTGTGGTTTTTTTTCCAAGAGGCAAATGGGTTTTCTTTGTTTTTCTTTGAAGACGTTTCGCTTCTCCTCCAAGAAGCTTCTTCAGCTCTGACTGGATGGTGGGGAATGGAAGGATTGATCCTCCTAGTCATTTGCATCCTTTTTAAAGAGTCGCTGAGGCCACTTGGAGGTTTGTCTGTGTCCTTAGGGTCACCTGAGTGGTACAAATGGGTGTGCAGCCTTCTTGGAACTGCCGAAAGGACTGGAGACCGATGGTGTCGTATCCCTCCTGTTCAGTTTTGACCTAGATGGCCTCTTTGACCCCTCTTCCAAACCAGCTCTGTCCAAAATGCGGACTTTGCC